TACGTAGGCATACACACACACACATGCATGTGCACACCCTCCTACACACAGTATTAGCAATGGGCATCACATCAGCAAAGCCACCTTACAATAAGAGCTATAGATTAAAAATATTCTGTTTTTATTTATCCCTTTGCTTCATCATTCTCCAACTTTAGAGGAGGCTTCAGTAACAGAAGCTGGCAAATTGGGTGATGGAGGAGGTGAGGAAGAAAAAGAGATGTGCCCTGTACTGTCCTCAGAAGGCTGTAGACTTACAGGGCACATGGGCAATGGAGTCTGTCATACACTGGAAGACTCCCATGCTGATGGAAATATTAGATGGGGTATTCTAATTTATGAATCAAAACTGCATTTTGCGACTTAAATTAACCACAAGATTTTCTTTCAATCTAAGAGTGACCAGAAGATACACGGGGCCAACTGGGGAATTTTTGTCAGTGGTGTTAGAAAAACTCCCTCCAGTGAGTACATTTTTAAGAGGAAAGCAGTGGACAGAATATAATTGCATTCTGATTCATCTCACAAATTGTGTTTGAAGGAGTTACCTACCTATCTTTGCCTACATATAAGGGAAAAATTCGTTCTTAAGCAAGGACAGTATACTAATATAAGGGTTTCCAGAGCAGCAGAGAGTTAATTAACTTGCAGTCGGAATCACTGAAACTCAAACCATGCTCTCTAGAGCTACATTTTCAATTCGGTAATCACTGGCTACATGTGCCTTTTAACATTTAAACTGTCCAATAAAAAACTTAGTCTCTCAGTTGCACTATCCATATTTCAAGTGTTCAAAAGCTAAGTGTAGCTACTGATTACCTGATTTGACAAGGCAGATGTGGAACATTCTCCAAACCACAGAACTTTTGGTCTTCGTCAGGGACATTAAACCACTTAAATCTCCCAAAACATGGTGGAAAAGGTATACAATTATTGTTCCCACAAAGCAGATGTAAGAATCAAAGTTCAGAGAGGCTTAGAAATTTGATCAAGAAACTTGGTCTTTCCTCTAAACCACATTGGTTGACCCTCAAAGCAAGTATAAAATATAAAACTACCCTCACTCTACTTTCAAAATACATTGTTGAATATTCTAAAATCTAGAAATCCCTAAGGGAAGGAGGCTTTACTCATCTCTGTATCATTACTGGATTGGTGGGAAACACAGTCTCATGTCCACTTTCTAATACCCCTATGTTTTAACCCATACAATTTATTCCCAGATGTAGGCGCAACTAAAAGACTTTTGGTGAATACAAAAGGTTTTAGTAGTAATAGAGAAATACTAAATAATAGTGTTTATCTATTTATCCCTTCACTTTGGTATATGGTTCTCTAAGAAAGTAATCACTGACTTGGTTATACATAGATTGTTTTGAGACCAGATTTATTTTCTGTTGTCTTTTACAAATGAAGATAAATGCAACTCATAATAAAACTATCACCTCACACTAAGTATCTGGTAGTGTGTGGGGATAACTGATTTACTAGAGAGAGAAAACACAGGAACAACTGAAAAGAGATAAAGATAGTTAGCAGTCACTGGGTTATACACACCCCCATTCCTTTACAGGAGGCCAAAGAGGTTCAGCTGGTGCGCGGACCAAGGGTGTCACCTCCGAGTTGTGTGTCCCTAAAGGCTGAAGCTCAGAAATGCAGTCTAAGGGGGCCTAGAGTGCAAGGCCTCAAGGGCTGACTTGCAGTCCTGAGGGAGCTGGGGAGTGGGCTCTGCCCCTTCTCTCCACTCTCACCGCTACCTCCCTAGTTCAGGCTGCCGCCACCTCTCCTTGTTTCCAGGTCCACTTCATCTTTTGCTTTCCATTTTCTAAAGTGTGAATCATAGATCAGGTCATATTATTCCCTGACTTTAAACTCATCTGCATCTTCTTTCTCGTAGGCTAAAGTTCAAGCTCCTGGGGAGGTCTCATAAGGCCATTCAAGGCCAGTCCCTGCTGGCCTTTGTGTCCTTTCCCCAGACCTCCTACCTCTTGCCACTTCCCCAGACCTCCTACATCTGTGCCTGCCCCACTGCTGTGACCCAGCTTTCCTCAACTACTTCCTGTTTCCAGAATGAGCCACGTTCACCCCTGTGTCCCTGTTCTGTATATAACATTCCTTTTATTTGAAGCACTCTTTACCTTTCTCCCTACAAACCCTTTAGTGTAGAGGTGGCATTTGAACCCAGACAGCTCAACCTCCAGAGCCCATTTCATAAATACTATGTGACACCATAGAACAGACTGGCTAAAGGGCCTCTCCCAGCCTCTTGTACTTCACAACCCGTCTGCTACTCTCATCCCTCCCTTTTGCATAACTGCAGGTTGTGTCCACCTTCCTGTGTGTCTGACCAGCACCCATTCAAGTCATCTTTGTATTTGACTTGCCAGTTCAGATGACATAGTGTCACTTCCCTCCCATTAGAATATATATTTTTAATAAGGAAACATAATAATAGAAATCCATCCTCATAAATAATTCCCAGTCATCTTTAAGACTTTTAAAAAAGAGAGATGAACAACTTAGGCTGATACTTGACTGGATGCAGAGTGATACTACAAATATTCAAAAATGGTTATAGCACAGCCATGACCTGTCAGGACGGGTATTGGCCATTAGATGGTACCCAGTATCCTCACCTAATATCCACTCTGCCTGCACGCAGGGGATAGGCGTGGGAACATTGCATTGACCCATGTTTCTGGACAGGCCGGGCGAGGGATGTCTTTTAATTGTGCATCAATGGGAATTTCTCCTGGCTCAAGTAAAAAGGAAATTAGGTTCAGATTGTTGAGTGCATTGCTTCACCCTCCCTCTTATGTAATTGCTTGATCTCTTCATGTCTTGAGTTGAATTTGGCCATTTCCTAAAGTTGAAATTCCCTGTAATTAACCTATGTACTTATGCCTGTTGCAATTTGAGAACAGTTTACTTTCTTTTCCAGAATCGGTTGTTATTGTCAGTAAATTGATTGAGAATGTTGATACCAAAGGTTTCTCAGTAACCTCCTTTTTTCTTGGATATCATCGTGTTTTTTTTAAATGTAGTTATTACTATTATTTTGAAATATAACTTAGTGCTTGTCAATGAGAGAGATATTTTTGTTTATCTGTAGATCATCATTTCTAGTAATCTTTTAAGTGTGTGTGTAAATGCGTGTGAGTGTGCAAAATGGTATAGTGACTTGCTTTTCCTTCAGTCTCTATCTTGCTAATGATTGTACAGGATGTGGTTAAATCAGAACTGCATTATAAAATTCTGTTTGAAAGGCCTTTTTCCTTTATGAAAATATGTATAATTCACAGCTTTCTTACTGATTCATTTTACAGTGCATTTAGTGTTATTTAATCCTAATATTTTTAAACAGTGCCATAAAATAAGAATTATTTTAAGATGAGGTCCATTTTATCATTCAAAGAAGATGGTAAGGATTGAAAGTGGTTTCCATAGTATTGGTTTTGAATGACATTTTACATACTCTTGACTCGACTGTGTGGGGTCCTCTTCATGCACTGTGTCGTTTAATTCTCACGTTAATAAGTGCTCTGTTCTTGCCGTGTGCTTCCTATTTGACTGGAGCAATTTCTCATGTCCCTCCTTTGAATTCATACTTCAGAACATGATTCTGAAGTCATTGCTTTCTGATGATTATGTGATGATCCCCCTGGTGTTGTTGGAAGGTGTGGTGGGAAAGCAAGGGGTTAGCTGCAGGCCAAGAACATGCCAGAATGTCCATTATGCTGAGCGAGGCAGGCCCAGGCGTTCACCTCTGTATGTCAGTGGTACCTCCTACACAGAGCGGCTGCCTTCGACCCCCTTGTGCCTCAGGTGTCTTCAGCTGGGATACTGGCTACATTTGCATGCATCTGAACGGGAGAAGGTCAAAGGTGCCAACTCTTTATCTGTGGACCACATTCCCACCTTCATAGCTAACGATTTTTCCTTCTACTCCCCGTTTCCTTGTGCAAACCTTGTATAAGCTACATAATCCGTCTGTGTCTCAATTCCTTATCTGCAAAAGGAACTGGTAACATTGGCTACTTTTCCCATGAGTAGGGCTGAGAATTAATAAACTGGCATTCAAAGGCACAAGTGTCTGAGATGATAGGGCCTCCATAAATTTAGATTGCTGTTATTACCATCCTCCCTTTTTGACTGCCAGCAGAATAATGACTCACACGGGATCCAGTGTTTATAGGGGGCTTTGCATTTTAAAGTATTTTATAATACTTAATAATTCAGAAAAGCCTCTCTGTGTAGTCTCAGCCTCATACTTCTATGGACAAAAGAGTCACTGAAAGTTCTCTGTAGATCACTCTTTTTCATGAACTATTTGTTGATTTGTCTGTTCAGATTATTATTTTTTTAGTCTTATTTTGTGTCTCATTAAAAGGATTTGTTCTACGTCAAGCCTCCTTGGGGCGCATGGGGTTTATTCTTCTGATTAAGTTAATTGGATAATCTATATGTAACTTGACTTATCAGTTGGTGATCCTTATAAATATCTTGCTTCCTTAAAGGGAACTGCAGAGCTTAAAACTGAGGCTGAGGTCAGAATGGAGAGCTCCAGAAGAGAGGGAGGACCAGGGGCAGACTTCAGGAGCTTATCAAGCCATGATTGCATAATCAAAGGGTGGAGCCCAGACAGGGTATTTACTTGTATGGATAAGCCTTAAGTGTTTACCCTGCCTGTTGCATCCCCTTTCATCCCCTCTTGCCCACTAGGAGACCACTATCCAATAAATTTGAGTCCTGGGCCATCTTGCTTTGTTCATTGTTTATATCCTGAACTAATATGATACGCTTGGGCTCTTTATCCCTCTTGATCTCCCATCCAATGCCTAATTCTGGTTCAGAAAAGTCCCTGGGACTTTACCCAGGCACTGGTTTAATTAGTGCCAGGTTTTTCCCAGCACTCGTGAAAGGGGACCAGGCATGGCTTTGATCAGTATCTTCTTGGCAATGGTTTGCTTCTTTTCCCACTGCTCTCCTCCATGCCCTAGGTATCCTGCGCTCTCAGGCACACCCAGATGTACGCGGTCTTCTTGAGGTTTCTTTGTGAATGCCCAGACTTCAGGCCGTCCTGCTATCCCCTGCTCTACCTGGGTGAGTTACGGTGGTGACTGGAAGAGTCTGCTTTGAAGACTTTGCTGTTTCAGGGTTCCACCACAAACATGGTGTTTTTCACACAATCCTGGAAGTGTTTAACATCAACATGGTCTTTATTAAAGAACTATTTCTATAAATGAAAGCACCTGTCCACATCCTAGTGGACAAAATGAGCCTGTGTATGGTAAGATGTAAAAGTGAAAACAAACAATAAATAGTAGCTTCGGAGGCATTTCTCCTAAAAGCCATGACACTAAGCCTGAAAATTCTATTCGAACTTTTATGTAGTTTTCTGTTCCATCTGAAAAAATTGATTGTGAAGAATTGCGACTTTGAAATTGGCAGCTCAAATGTGGCTTTAAAAATCTTTATATGGTATATCCAATGTTTGTCTGAAATCTTAGTGCATCATAGAATTACCTTCTACTTTTAAAATTTTTGTCTGGAGACATTTATAAATTAAGCCACGCTCCCAGCCTTATTCAGCCCTCAGTGTGTTGGTAGTAGGTACACAAGGACATGTGCAGCCTTTACTAACAAACAAAAGATTTGGTATGTATGATGTTAGAAAATTAAAGTCAGGTCAATATTTAAAAATGACCAAGAAACAGAAACATTTTTTTTCACTAAAATTCCACAGAATCTTTATCTTAGCTATGCTTATTAAATATAAAAATGCAGGACCACATGCTTCTTTACTGAGAGGGTCTAAAACTTTAGATACGTTAATTTTGCATAGGGAATAGGTAAGGGTCAGAACCAGTTGAAAGCAAACCTGAGAAGACAGGACAGCCCCCAAATGGATAGGTTTGGAAGGAGAAAGAAAGAGAAAATAATGTTTGCATTCTTGTTGAGTTAAAAAAAATCTTAGAGTGTCTTTAATTTTTAACAAAATCCCAAATCATTTGACTCGTTCCAAACACCATAATTTTAACTTTAAGTCAATATGGGGAATGACCTCTCTTTTGTGTGACTGAAAGAAACACCTGGCTATCAGGAATCCTGAGGTCTGGTGTCGACGTGTCACCCACCAGGTAAGTGCTTTAGGAGATTCACTGCTCCGCCGTCTGTCCATGTTTACCAAAGGAGAGGACTGAGGTCGAGCAGGAGCATTCACATGCGTACTGCAGGAAACTCTGAGTTCTGTGCGGTGACTCCGGACCCCATTTTTGTAGTGAAAGCAGTGGCTAAAATGTGAGGGGCGTCAGCTATTTTCTCTTTGCCTTTCAACCAGATGGACTTGGCATCTACTTATTTATTTGCCAACTGTATTTCTGTAAGATTTGAAGAAATAGGTTCTCATGCATGAGAGAATTATGTTTGCAACCATTCAATTAAATTATTGCTAAAGTCTTGTCAGTTTGAAAGGTATGTTTTCTGTAACCATTAATGATAATATGTACTGCATACAACACGCGTGGACACATATTGATACACATGGTTATATATTCCTATATTACCTTTCCACATTATAACTTCATGCACCCAATCATAAAAATACATATGCAAGAATATTGAAAGCCCTTAACAATAAAAGCTAATTCCCAATAATGGCAAGGTATGGTGAGTTGGGGAGGAGATCAAATATTAAACAAATAAGCAAACAATGGGGGATATGGGAAGTTAATGAAAATGTACAAAAACCCAGCCTAAGCTTCTTTAGTAGTCAAGGTAAACCCTGAAATGTGAGGAGGGTATGAGTCTTTTAAAAGAGAAAACGTTAAAATTAGGAAGAAGAAACTTCCCATCCCCAAGCTCAGAATAATGTGCCATACATGGCTTTATGTGATAACATAATGGAAAACCCCCCTCCTTACAGTTTTACAAAAATATAGAGAAATTTCATATACAGCTACAGTTCATCTTTGTCATGAGGAAACACCGAGGAGGTAGTGCGAAGCCATCTCTCTGTAAAGGCCACTTTGGTAGGAGGCTGGAGTAATGTGTTTTCCCTTTTTTTTCAATGTTCCCTAAATTTTTCATCGAATTTATTTGGATGACATTGATTAATAAAGTTTTTTAAGTTTCAGGTGTACAGTTCTACAGCCCATCACCTGTACATTGCGTTACACGCTCACCACCCCAAGTCAAGTCTCCATTCATCACCATGTATCGCCCCTTTACCCTCTTCCACCTGCCCATACCCCCTTTTCATCTGGTAATCACCATACTGCTGTCGGTGTCTATGAGGGTTTTTGTTGTTGTTATTTGTTTGTTTGTTTGTTTTTTGCTTAATCCCTTCACCATTTTCACCTGGACCTCCACTGTTGGTGGGAGCACAGACTGGTGCAGCCACCGTGGAGAGCTGTATGAAGTTACCTCAGAAAATTAAAAATGGATCTGCCTTATGACCCAGCAATTCCACTTCTGGGACTATATCCCAAAACACCCTGAAACATGGATTTGAAAGAATATATGCATCCCTATGTTCAGTGCAGTGTTATTCACAATCACTAAGATTTGGAAACGGCCCAACTGCCCACCAGTCGGTAAGTGGGTAAAAAGCTGTGGTGCATTTACAGGATGGAACACTACTCAGGCATAAAAAAAGAAGGAAATCTTACCTTTTGCACCAGATGGATGGACCTGGAGGGTATTATGCTAAGTGAAATTAAGGCAGTCAGAGAAAGGCAAATACCATATGATTTCACTTACATGGGGAACCTGATGAATGAAATAAACTAACAAACAGTATAAGCTTAAAGTAGCCTTTTGGTTCAAATTGATTTGGGGATAAGACTAGAAAACCTGTATGCTGTGAAGGGGTCACATACCCCCTCTTTGTATCAGCGTGACTTTTAATGGAAACTACACGGCAGGCCATCTTAGATTCACATTCTGAGGACGTGTCCGAAGGGAGACTTTCCCTACTGTTCTCAAATACTGCACAACAAAGTTTCGTGTAGAAATAAAGTTCCTGACATGGTTTTGCTTTTCTAGATGCCTGCTGGCGCTTGGCTGGAGGAGCCGAGAGGTTGTGCAGGCTCTTGGGCAGCAGCACCTGAGTAGGTCAGGTGTAAGGTTTGGGGTACAGTAAAAGGGGCGGGGCCTACTTAGGAGGTTCTTCATGCCTCTGCTATGGGGCTGGGTTAAAATGTCTCTCCCTGTGTTTCTCTCTAGTAGAAACTAAAAAGAAAGAAGATGGAAGGGGGCTACAACTGTGTTGTACTTTTTGGGGGGTTTGAAGAAAAGAAAAGCTGTGTTCCCTGCCTCTGTCACTACTGAGCAGTGTGTCGGAACCTGGCAATCATTTGCAGTTTCATTAGTAATACATACATAAGCATACTTTATCCCTGAAGCTTCATGAGTACTGTGGTTTGTGATTTGATTATTTTTCGCTGATGTAGCTGGCATGACCAGATCACATTTTCCATGGAAAACTTGCGTTAGTGTGTGTTTCTTTGCTTCTTAGAAAGGCATAGTGTGTTATCTCTTACTCCATTGCAAACTAGCCCAAAACAGTGACTCAAAACAAGCATTTTGTTATCTCACACCTGGTAACTGACAGATTTAGGTAGGAATTGGCTGTGTGGTGTTCTGCCGGTCATAGGGTGCATCGTGGCTCTGGGCTTGCAGATGGGCTGGCCTGGAGGGTCCAAGATGACTTCACACTCATACCTGGCATTTTGCGGGGATGACTAGAAGTCAGGGCTCAGTTGGTACTGTCGCCTGGAGCACTTATGAATTGTCTGTACAGCATGGTGACCTGAGGGCTGTAGGAATTCTCAGACAGCAGCTGGTTTCACCTAGAGGAAGTTTTCCAAGAGACCTAGGCAGAGGCTACAAGGTCATTTATAATAGACTTGGAAATCCCAGCACACTGCTTTTCCTGCTTTCTATATGTCAAGCAAATCACTAGAGCCCGTCTCGATTCCCGGGGAATCTCAATGAGAGGATAGCTAAGAACTGAATCATAGGTCATCTCTAACATACCACAGGCCAATATGCACTTCTTGCTCATATACTTCGTGCATAAACGATCTGCTCAACAACATTATCTTCTGAAATTTGAACAGAACTATGAAGGTTTAAGTAGAACATGAACATGGCTTTATGACAGTCAAAGAAAGATAAGATGTCATTTAGTAACTTGCATACAATTACTAAATGCTCCATTATTAAAGTTGAACTAGAATTTCTTTGATAGTAGGCTTAAATAAATACATTAGCTTATAGTTATATATTATGTCTATTATATATCTATTATATTATATCATCTTCTATTTACATCTTATTTACTTACTATTTTATTCCTTTTGTAAAATGGATAAAATGAGATGCCAAATTCTTATTGACATATTTAGGTGTTAATGTTAAAGCCTACAGAAAAACTGGCACAGAGGATAGGAGATATGCCAGCCATTGGCCTGTTTGCCCTCAGCCTGCATTCCTACAAGTTAGTGCTCCTCTGTGTATTGTACGTTTTCCATACCCCACAGATTACCGTTCCATGTTTTTTATTGTCAGCAAGATTCCAGTTTGGTCTTGCGGATGAGAGGTCCTGGTAAGAGACTGAGAAATGACGGAATGGGGAAAGTGACTCACTTCCTGTTTTTAGCTTCTGGGCCTCTATCCTCAGCAGCAAAAAGCTGTGAACTCCAGCATCTTCTGTCTGTTCCAAGAGCCATAGACAGAATTCTGCCTTGGAGCCAGCACCAATGCCTCCTCAGGTGCCCCAGCATGTGCCAGGTGGTGCTCCCCTGGGTTATACCAGCACTTGGCAGCACGGCCCCTGGGTAGCCTCAGCTCCAGCTGAGCAGTGCGTCCTCAGCAGTCCCAGCACCAGTTTTGTAGGTCCCAGTTGTATCTTCCAACTAGTGTGCTCAACACACCTTGTCCCAGCTGTGCAAGCGTCTACTGAATGGCACCCCATCATGGTCCAGGTCTGACTGACGGGCCCCGTGGTTGGTGTTCCCAGTACTTCCCAAGGCATCCTGACCATGCAGTGGCTAGTAGACCTCTGGGTCCTACCACCACGGCCCGCCTTTTGTTTTCCT